TCTCTCTCTCTCTCTCTCTCTTTCTCCCCTAACTCCCGACCCCTGTCTCTCTCTCCTCCACCACCAACTCCACCCATCTCTCTCTGTTCCACCGTCTTTCTCCCCCACCCCCTCTTTCTTTCTACCCCTCTCTCCCCTACCTCCTCTCTCTTTCTCCCTTCTCTCCCCTACCCACTCTCACTTTCTCCCCTCTCTCCCTTACCCCTATCTCTGTTCCCCCTTATCACCCCTACCCCTTCTCTCTCTCCCCTACCCTCCTCCCTTACCCCTGTTCGCTCTCACCCCACCTCTCTCCCACTTCCCCTCTCCTCCCCTCCACCGCTCCTCCAACTCTCCTCCCGTCCGTTCGCCAGCCAGCCTGCCCTCACAAACACACAGCCTCCTGCCGCTTGATGATGATAATGATGATGAGGCTGATGCTGAAGCTTCTGACGATGTCCTGATGTCCTGCCGGCTATAAAGCTGAGCTGCCCACCGCTCACGGGCCATTCATTCACCACCACCAGCACTAGCTAGCAGCGACACACTCAAGCGTGAGCACTCAGAGACGTGCGTGTGTTTTCCCTCACGCGACACCTAGCTCCCCCCAGACTAATTCTTCCTCCTCTTCTTGTTGTAGGCCTAGTAGTTGTCGTACATCGCTCGCCCACGTCACCACCAAGTCTCTCCAGTGCCAATTTTGACAGGTGGAACGAGTGACGAACCGAAGGCTCGGGAGATAATATTTCGTCTATTCTCAGGTCGTCGTCAGATGAGGAACTGGCAACTGTTTATTTCTGAGAAATAACTTTTTTAAAATACAAACCAAACAAGTGTTTGTGCTGTCAAGAAGAATACGCCCTTTGAAGACGTAAAAAACCCCGAAACAAAACAAAGCAAAAAAAACAAAAAAAACAAAGCCAAGGACATATAAATAAAGTTGGTTTAAGTTGTTTGAATCAAAAAGAAAAAAAAACAACCCAAGAAGTGTTGAGCTAAACCACCTTTGTGATTTCAAGATCAAAAGAATCTACTAAATTGGACATACAGCGCTCTGTCTGAAAGCTGTTTGGTGTTTATTGAAAGAAAAGGGACACTCACGTAATCTCTGCAACAGTGAATATCAACAATACGTGAGGAAAATAACAGAACTAAAAAAACATTAGTGTGGAAAAAAAAGTGAAACGAAGTCTCAAACAAGCGACAGTAAACGAACGAAAAACAAAAAAGTGCATTACGAGAAAACGAAACATTTTTCTTCCAGAGGTGCCAAAGGGTTATATAAAGTGTTCTACGTTTTGCTTGTCCTACACACTCAACGTCACCAAAAGGGGGATCACTCCTCTCCTGTTTTTACTTGTTCTCTACAAAGACACAAGTGTTTCCAGTTTGAGCGCCACCACCCCAAAAAAGCGCTGCCCACCTCTTGACCAGCCACTGCAGTTGACTGTCGCTAGAGTCCACTGATTGACTAGCTGACCGTTGTCCAGTCATGTCCAGAATGTCCGTCACCATCCAGGCCTCAGTAATGCTGTGTGTGCTTCTTCTCATCACAAGTGGAGTCTCAGCTGCGGTGAGTCCCGAGTTTGAGTCCAAAGTTGTTTCTTTATCATTTTTTTGTCTTGTTTTTTGGGGTTTTTTCTTCTTTTTTTGTGCTGTTGAACTTTCAATTCTTTTGTTTTTAATTTAAGGGGCCTCTTGGTGTTTTACGGCACCATTTGGCATAAATAGGATCATATGAGAGGCGTGCTTCCGATCAATCCCGTTATGACCAACCAGAGTTGAGAGGAATACAATATTATCAAAGCAGAAAAACCGAGGTTCTCGATAAAAAGTTTTTACCCACTCGGGAATCGACTGGGGTCTTTTACATGCGACACTACACCACAGACACCGGTTTGTTGAAGTTTATGCCCCACAATAAATTTATTTATCTATCTATCGATCTATCTAATTATCTATCTACATATCTATAGATAAATAAAAAAGCAAATAAGTAAACAAGTAACTACATAAATGAACAAAACAAACAAAAAAAGAAACATACCCAAAGAAACCAAATAAATAGATAGATAAATTATATGATCATGGTCTGTGTTGTAGCAGTTAGACGCTTTGCTCTCGCACACAGAAAACGAGAGTTCAATTCTTGTGTGGGAACGTTGTTTTATTCGATTGTTTAGGCTACCAGACTCGTAATCGTGAGGTTACGGGTTCGGGGATTCGAGCCGCGGGCCCGACGCTGTGTCTATGGGAAAGACACTTTATACGAATTTTCCTCACTTCACCCAGGTGGGAATGGGTACTCGGCCATAGACAGCGGAAGATCTTGTCTGTATGTTAGTGTTTTAGCTCCTATAAATGTCCGCTTGCACTGTATGCTTCTCAAGAAGTTGAGGTTGTTTCAGAATGCTCTCAGGTCTGCTGAGGTAATAGTATAGATTGTGAAGCGCATAGAGCTTACAGTTGAGCGGGGATTTGCGCCTTACAAATGCTATCTATTATTTATTATTTTTTTTTAAATCAAGTAACTCTGTCCGTCCGTCCGCCCGGTTGCTGTATGCAGCTACCTTTCTCTCTCTCTCTCTCTCTCTCTCTCTCTC